GAGGTCGCTCGTACCTCCTTGGTTCATGCGGCTGCCCCCACTTTCTGTGGCCGTTTGCAGTCCGATACGCTGCGCATCAGCTCAACCTCTGGCCCCGTGTCTCCTTGCCCGAGACTTCTCCGACACTGCGTTGGACGGGAGAGGCTGGCGATGCGTCGCGTTTTCGGGTCTGGGGATCCCGAGCTTTTGTCCGCGACACGTCCGCGGACAAGCTCTCCCGTCGCGCTGTCCCCTGCGTCTTCCTTGGCTTTGTCCCGGACGCCTCTGGTTGGCAGTTCTACCACCCCACCTCGCGGCGTGTCCTGGCCTCTCAGGATGTCACTTTTGACGAGTCCGTCCCCTACTACCGCCTCTTCCCCTACCGCACTGCCCCGCTCCCCCCCCCGCCTCTCTTCCTCGCTCCAGGTGCTGAGGTACCAGACCCCCTCCCCCCTCAGGGTGCCGCTCCCTCAGGTGTGTCCCAGGTAGACCCGGGTGAGCCTGTCGAGGTAGCTGTTGACTCTCGTCCTGCTCGGGGTACTGAGCCAGGGGGTGCTGCGTCTGGGGGTGCTGAGCCTGGGGGTGCTGCGTCTGGGGGTGCTGAGCCTGGGAGTGCTGAGTCTGGGGGTGCGGAGCCTGGGGGTGCTGAGTCAGGAGGTGCGGAGCCTGGAGGTGCGGAGCCTGGGGGTGCTGGGTCTGGGGGTGCTGCGTCTGGGGGTGCTGAGCCTAAGCGTGCTACACCTGGAGGAGCCCTCTCCTCCCAGCAGCTGCAGGAGAGGTACCTCGAGTACTGCCACCTCCGGAGAGGTGCTGCTGGAGCTCGTCCCGGTACTTCCCCTCCTACCCAGGAGCTCCCCCCCATTCAGCAGATCCGCGAGTGGTACACACGGCGCTGCAGTCTTCGGAGTGGTGCTCCTGGTGCTGCGGACCCTGGGGGTGGCGCTGCTGCTGGTGCTGAGGACCCGGACGTGGGAGCTGCTGCTGGTGCTGCGGACCCGCCTGGTGGAGCTACTGCTGGTGCTGAGGACTCGGACGTTGGAGCTACTGCTGGAGCTGAGGACCCGGGCGGTGGCGCTGCTGCTGGTGCTGAGGACCCGGACGGTGGAGCTGCTGCTGGTACTGAGGACTCGGACGGTGCAGCTGCTGCTGGAGCTGAGGACCCGAGCGGTGGCGCTGCTGCTGCTGCTGAGGACCCGGGCGTTGGAGCTACTACTGGTGCTGAGGACCCGGCCGGTGGGGCTGCTGCTGGTGCTGTGGACCCGGCCGCTGGAGTCTCCTCTGCTTCTGGAGACGCTGCGCGGCCGCGACCGTACTTCGTACCGCTCCTTCAGCAGGTTCTTGGCCAGGCTCCTCCTCCTTGTCCTCCTCCCTCCGTAGAGTGTCCTCTGCCTGTCCAGCCGCAGTCACTGTTACCGCCTACCTCGCCTCTCCCTGCTCCCTCTCCTTACACTGGTCCCACAGGAGTCTTACAGAGCGTCGTGAGCCTGAGTCTCGTCCTGCGTCGCCTGTTCGTCCTGCTCGCACTGGTAGTCGTGTCCGTCGTGAGCGTCCTCCTCCTGTCCCAGGCACTCACTACATGACTCTGCGTCCCTCTACTGCTCCTCAGCGTGTCCCTCTACCGTCTCCTCCTGCGTCCTCTTTGCCTCACGTTCCGGACCCTGAGTCTGACCGGTATCGTGCTGAGCACCCTACTGTCACGTGTCTCCTTGCTACTGTTGTCACTGACCCTACCTTTGAGTCCTCGGCTGCGTCTGCTCTGGTCGCTGAGTTGGTTGACTTTGCTGCTGCCTGTCGTCTAGACTACGCTGCTAGCCTTGTTGCTGAGTCTGAGTCTGAGTCTGTCTGTCCTCCGTCCGTCGGGGGTGAGTGTGCTCTTGGCACGGACGTCCTTGAGGACAGACAGGAGGAGTTCCAGTGTCTTGCTGCTGCTTTGCCCCGTCTCGTGTCCTTGCTAGTTGCCCCTGAGGGAGACCCGGATGCACCAGACATCCCGACCCCGCGCACTTACACTGAGGCGATGGCGGGTCCCTACTCCTCTCAGTGGCAGACAGCCATGGACGCCGAGATGGCTTCCTGGAAGTCCACACGCACCTACGTCGACGAGGTTCCCCCTCCTGGGGCGAACATCGTCAGTGGCATGTGGATTTTCAGGGTGAAGCGGCCGCCGGGTTCTCCGCATGTCTTCAAGGCGCGTTACGTGGCTCGAGGCTTCAGTCAGCGAGAGGGAGTTGACTTCTTCCAGACCTTCTCCCCCACCCCGAAGATGACTACTCTTCGGGTGCTGCTGCACATAGCCGCTCACCGCGACTACGAGCTTCACTCACTTGACTTCAGCACTGCTTTCTTGCAGGGCAGCCTGCACGAGGAGATCTGGCTGCGCCGCCCACCTGGCTTCACTGGGTCGTTTCCTCCTGGTACCCAGTGGAGGCTTCAGCGGCCGGTCTACGGTCTCCGCCAGGCTCCGCGTGAGTGGCACGACACACTGAGGACTACACTTGCGGCTCTTGGGTTCGCGCCTTCTACAGCTGACCCGTCGCTGTTCCTACGCACCGACACTTCGCTGCCGCCGTTCTACATCCTCGTGTACGTCGACGACTTGGTCTTTGCCACTGCTGACACTGCAGGACTCGCCTACGTGAAGTCGGAGCTGCAGAGGAGACACACGTGCACAGACCTGGGTGAGCTGACAAGCTATCTTGGCTTGCGGATCACCCGGGACAGAGCACGGCGCACCATCACCCTGACTTAGTCACACATGGTGCTGCAGGTTCTCCAGCGCTTCCGCTTCACGTACTCCTCGCCTCAGTCCACTCCTCTGCCTACCGGTCACTCGCTCTCAGCTCTGCCTTCGGATGAGTCCGTAGAGCCGAGTGGCCCGTATCCAGAGCTTGTGGGCTGCCTCATGTACCTGATGACCTGCACTCGACCTGACCTTGCATACCCTCTTAGCATCCTTGCACGCTATGTCGCTCCTGGCCGTCACAGGAAGGAGCACATGATGCCGCTAAGAGGGTGTTGCGCTACTTGTGCAGTACGTCGGGCATGGGGCTTGTGCTTGGAGGGCGAGACCGAGTTGTTCTCACAGGGCACTCAGACGCTTCTTGGGCAGACGACCAGGCCACTCAGCGGTCGTCTCAGGGTTACACCTTCAGCCTTGGCTCTGGCTCAGTTTCTTGGCGCTCTACACGCTCTTCTTCTGTTCTCGGCTCCAGTTGCGAGGCTGAGATCTACGCTACAGCCATGGCTGCCCAGGAGCTACGCTGGCTGACCTACCTGCTGACCGACCTCGGAGAGCGGCCTCGTTCTCCTCCAGTACTGTACGTCGACAACAAGGCTGCCATTGCCTTGTGTGAGGAGCACAGACTGGAGCACAGAACGAAGCACATCGCCCTGCGGTATTTCCTTGCTCGTGAGCTGCAGCAGCGCGGTCAGCTTTCTATTCGCTACGTGGCCACTGAGGCCAACACTGCTGATGTGTTCACCAAGGCGTTTCAGCCTCGTGACCATCAGCGCTTCTGCACTCTTCTAGGCCTTGTGCCTACTGGACCTCACTTACTTACCTCTTGACTTTGCTTGTACTGTGATCACTATATATATCTATACCTGCATGTTTACTCTTGCTAGGTTGTGATCACTGTATCTCTTGCTCTGTTATAAACCTGCATGTGAACTGGTCTTGTGACCACTAGCTTGTGCTCGGAATTTGTGTGGAGTCCTTGAGATCCACCCTGAGCTTGTTGTTGCCTTGCTTTGCCTTGACTGGTCTTGTGACCCCTAGGTCTCCCCCACTTTGCCTATGGGGGTGTGTCAAACATTATACATGTTGTATTTGTGTAGGCTGTAGTGGGTTAGCCTATAGGGGGGTCACAACATTAGGGTTTCATATTTGTACTCACAATCCTTGCTAGTTCATCATTCCTGTCCGTTCATTCTGACAGTGTGCACTAGGGGTTCGAACTTCTGTCTAAGTTCGAACTTTTAGCAAGGTTCTACTCGGTGCAAAGCGGTGAATGTTCGAACTTTGACAAATTTCACCCAAAGTGCACACGCCCTAACGTTATCGCCTCATCCTCGGTTTTGCGCACCCAACCAACAATCTACCACCGCAGCAAGCATGTACATTTTGTTCCCAACCGTTTCTGCTTAAAAAAAATGTACATTATAAAAAGACCCGGGTGTTATGTAGCTTTTTCCCATGACAAGACCCCCCCCCCTTTTTTTGAAGTAGTTATCATAGCACCCTAGGGTGGTATGTCCGGGTGATTACGGTATATATATTCCTGCATGTTTACCCTTGCTAGGTAGTGATCACTGTACTGTTTGCTCTCCTTTATATAACTCTGCATGTGAACTGGCCTTGTGGCCAATTGCTTGTGCCCAAAACGTGTGACTTCATGATCCACTCTGAGCTTGCTTTGCTTTTCTTGACTGGTCTTGTGACCACTGGTTCTCCCTCACTTTGCCTATGGGGGTGTGTCAAACTGTAATGATGTTTGTGCTATGTAGGATGTAGTGGGGTAGCCCAGAAGGGGTACAACCCAAATTAGGGTCAGTACTTGCACCCACTTTTCTGCTCAATGCATCATTCTCTCCTCATCAGATTCTAACACACTCGACCTCACTCATCTGTTAGGTGGTCCAGCGCATTCATTTACAGTTCACCCGTTGTGGCGCAAGAGGGTTTCAGACGGTGCACAACGGTTATCAAGCTTCACCGTTTTGCGCCGTGACGCAAACAGAGTAACCGCACAAAACGAACAAAGGAAGAACGCTCTGGACCTGCCCTTACTTCCAGACCATGTCACCACCAGCACCCTGGAACAATTTGCACATTACTGTTACAATTGTTTCACTGTCAAATGTTTACTCACATGTGAAGATTTGCCTCAATAGTGTAATCCTCGCTTGCTCAATAGCACTCCCAACACATCAGTTTCTGACATCCACATTCCCACAAAAACCTTGCAAAAGCCTTTATGCACCACTTCGGCCACGAGGGTTAATGCAACACAGTACTTTCATCAAATAAGCCTCCCTGATAGGTCACACTTCCCTAACAAAACCCCTCGAAGGGACGCATGTGTGGAGCCACAAATATCCACAAGCACATAATCACCTGCACTAGCAACCCCTCCACCAGCTGAACCCCTACCAGCCCCACCCTCATCCCCCTCACTCGCCAATCCCAGTGAAGACCCTCGGTGTTTCCTGTCCGCTGCTGTGGACTGTTGGTGGAGGGAGCTGTGGAAGGTGACTCGGTGGCCCAGATCAGTCTTCCCAATCAGCTCTGTGTGTGGAGAGCGCTTGTTGGGTCCCTCCACCAGCACTACCTGCCTCGTCCCTACCTGAAGGAAGAAAAAGATGCAAAGGGATGTGGAGGGCGTGGTGGAAGGTGGCTTCGTATTAGTGGAGAAGGTGGAGTGGACCACAAGGAAAGAAGACAAAGAAAAGGGTTGTACCGATAATGGCCCAGATCCGTCTTTCCAATCAGCTCTGTGTGCCGCGAATTCTTGTTGGGGCCCTTAACGAGCGCTACCTGCTTCTATCCACCAGAAGGGGAGAGAAAACGGGAAAGGATATGGGCCGTGACGGGGATCGGTATGGGGAGGAGATAGAGAGTAGGCAAAGTGCGTGCATGGTACGGCCTTCCAGGTGCACCGAGCCCTCAAAAGTATGCCTAGTCTGGCATCCAAGCTGCACAACCTGCTTCGATCCCATCTCAAGTGGAGAAGAGAAGAATGGGAGAAGAGGAGATGGGGAGAAAGGGCACAAGGCAAAAACAGATGGGGAGAAAGGGGAAAAGGGAGGTAGCAACCGGTGCAGGTGAACCTTTCCAGCAAATGGAGGTAGCAACTGGTGCAGGTGAATTTTTCCAGCAAATGGAGGTAGCAACTGGTGCTGGTGAACCTTTCCAGCAAATGGAGGTAGCAACTGGTGCTGGTGAACCTTTCCAGCAAATGGAGGTAGCAACTGGTGCAGGTGAACCTTTCCAGCAAATGGAGGTAGCAACTGGTGCAGGTGAACCTTTCCAGCAAATGGAGGTAGCAAAGGCGTGGATTGTAAAAGGCAGATACAGTTCTGTCTGGCCGTGCCTGACCTCTTCAAGCATATTGAAACTGATCTAAGGCGAGTACCTGGAGTGTATGAGTAAGGCACATACAGCTGCGCTGACTTTTGAGTCGACTCAAGAGTACCTGGAGTGTATGAGTAAGGCACATACAGCTGCGCTGACTTTTGAGTCGACTCAAGAGAACCTGGAGTGTATGAGTAAGGCACATTCAGCTGCGTCTGGCAGAGACGTGATGTCCTTCAGGACACCACAAACACCCCTGCTTGGTGCGGTGTATACGCAGGGTGTTTTTGAGATTTCTCAAAAATCGCTCATGAGGAACATACAGCTGCGTCTGGCAGGGATGTGATGTACTTCAGGACACCACAAACAACCAACCATGCCAGGTGTGGTGTATGCGCCACACCCTTGGGGATGTATGCGGTAAGGACACTACATAAGGCCTTACCTGAGAGGCATATCGGCCAGCTGTTGTCTCCCGAAACGGGGCCACCAGCTCACCTCACCCAGCCATCTCTGCTTCACCTCCTCTGGTACATCGTCCTCCAGCCGCCGGTGGGCGTGTGGGCGCGGGCCCACAAAGTAGGCTTGGTGTATGCGGCAAGGACACTGGAGAGGGCCTCGTCCCCACTTGAAGGAAGGAACAAATGAAAAAAGGATGTGGAATGAGTTGCGAAAGCTCACTCGATGGCCCGGATCCGTTTGTCCAATCAGCTGTGTGAGCGGCGAGCGCTTGTTGGATCACTCCACTAATGGCCCAGACCCGTTTTTCCCTCCACTAAAAACAGCTCGATGGCCCAGATCGCCTGAGCGGCATAACTGGCAGCTACGGTGCCAGCCTGGCAGTGCCTTACCTGAGCCGAGTATCTAGCAGCCGGGAGTGAGGGCGCAGCAAGTTGGCTTTAAGGCGCCTCAAAAGTGGGCGCATCAACTAGGCTTTAAGGCGCCTCAAAAGTGGGTGCATCAAGTAGGCTTTAAGGCGCCTCAAAAGCTGCCAGTGGGCGTGTGTGCACGGGCGCAAGCAAGCCAGTCTTCAGAGTGGTGGGAGCCGAAACACTGACCTGTGCCGAGTATCTGGCAGCTGTGGTCTCCCGGAACGTGGCCACAAGTTCACTCAGCCGCCGCTGCTTCACCTCCTCCGGTACATCGTCCTCCAGCCGCCGGTGGGCGTGCGTGCGTGGGCGTAGCGAGTAGGCAAACATGTAGGCCATGTCGTAACCTACTGCGCGCATGAGAGAGAGGGTTTGCTGGTGGTCCTCCTCTGTTTCACCACAGAAGCCTGGGGAATTCACAGGGTGGCACAAGCAGTGACGCAGTGAGCAAGAGAACAGTGAGTCGGGCAGCGCGCAGCGAGTAGGCAAACATGCAGGCCATGTCGTATCCCACTGCACGCATGAGAGAGAGGGTTTCCTGGTGCTCCTCCTCTGTTTCACCACAGAAGCCTGCGGGCGCGACAGGGTAGCACAAGCAGTGACGCAGTGAGAAGGTGGACAGTGAGTCGGGCAGAGAGCAGCGAGTAGGCAAACATGTCGGCCATGTCTTATCCTACTGCACGCATGAGAGAGAGCGTCTCCTGGTGCTCCTCCTCTGTTTCCCCGCAGAAGCCTGGGGGAGCAACAGGGTAGCACAAGGCAGTAGCAGCATCAAGGCAAAAGCAGCATTGGTGGCAACATTGGCAGCAGCAGCAGCAGCAGCGGCGGCGGCGGCGGCGGCGGCGGCGGCGGCGGCGGCGGCGGCGGCGGCAGCAGCAGCAGCAGCAGCAGCAGCAGCTGCTGTGGCAGCAGTAGCATGACAGGGATGTTGAAATTACTTTTGGGGTGGATGTGGGGAAGGAAAGGGTTTTCTGGTCACAGGTCTCGGTGAACGGGCGATGATGCTCAATCCGTCACCACTCACGATGCTCACTCTCACTACCTCACAAGTGAGAAAGTCGCTGCTAATGGCAACGTCAGGCAGAATGCCTCTAACTCAATCCACCAGCTGCAGATACGCCTCCCCTGAATACACCTCCCTGTGCATGGAAGGCCCCTCCCTCAGCAGCACCCACGCTGCTCTCTCCCCAACTCACTCACCAGCAGTGATAAAGATACTGCTGCTCATGGCAATGTCCCACTCGGGCAGTGTGATAAAGATACTGCTGCTCATGGCAATGTCCCACTCGGGCAGCGTGATAAAGATACTGCTGCTCATGGCAATGTCCCACTCAGGCAGCGTGATAAAGATACTGTTGCTGATGCCAATGCCCCACTCAGGCAGCGTGATAAAGATACTGTTGCTGATGCCAATGCCCCACTCAGGCAGCGTGATAAAGATACTGTTGCTGATGCCAATGCCCCACTCAGGCAGCGTGATAAAGATACTGCTGCTGATGCCAATGCCCCACTCAGGCAGCGTGATAAAGATACTGCTGCTGATGGCAATGCCCCACTCGGGCAGCGTGATAAAGATACTGCTGCTGATGGCAATGTCCCACTCGGGCAGCGTGATAAAGATACTGCTGCTCATGGCAATGTCCCACTCGGCCAGCGTGATAAAGATACTGCTGCTCATGGCAATGCCCCACTCAGGCAGCGTGATAAAGATACTGCTGCTCATGGCAATGCCCCACTCAGGCAGCGTGATAAAGATACTGCTGCTCATGGCAATGTCCCACTCAGGCAGCGTGATAAAGATACTGCTGCTCATGCCAATGCCCCACTCGGGCAGCGTGATAAATATACTGCTGCTCATGGCAATGTCCCACTCGGCCAGCGTGATAAAGGTACTGCTCATGGCAATGCCTGCCTGGCACAATGCTTCTCACCCAATCCACAAACTGCAGATACGCTTCCCACTCTCACAACTCTCACTCACCTAATGATGCCCCCTCTCCCTCACTCACCAGTGATGAAGTCGCTACTGATGGCAGCACCAGGCACAACGCTTCTCACTCGATCCACCAGCTGCAGATACGCCTCCCTCGAATACCCCCTGCGCATCCTCCCCAGCACACTGCTGCTGCCGCTCTGCGCGGGCAGATGCAAACTTTTGCACACGTTGCCCCGGGCAGCCATGAGCGAAAGAAGCTCCTCCGGGAAGTCCTTGGGGTGAGGGGAGGTGAAGCGGAAGCGGATGTCCGGAAAGTTCCGAGAAGCTTCGTCTAGGAGGGTGGCGAATCGGATCCCTCCCAGCTTGGGTTTGTAGATTGTGGAAAAGCCAGGGGTTAAGTGCGGTTGGGAGGAGGAAGAGGACGCGGGGGAAGAAGAAGAAACAGTGGCAGTGACTGAATCAACCGTATCGCTTTCTGAGGTGTCTCGGTAGCTGTTCACATTCTGCCCGAGAAGATAAATTTCCTTCACGCCCTGCCCGGCGAGCTCCTCGATCTCCCCAAGGATGCTTCTGATTGGCCGGGACCGCTCCCTGCCCCTCGTGAAAGGAACGATGCAGTAGGAGCACATGTTGTCACACCCCCTCATTATAGTCACAAACGCACTGACGGAATTTGAGGCGAGCCGAACGGGTGACACGTCAGCATAGGTTTCGTCAAGAGAAAGGAGTGTGTTGACTCCCGGTTGGCCCGCTTCTACCTGTTGAGCGCAAAACGAGAGAAGAGAAAATAAGGGAGACGCAAATGGGAGAGGGCGGTAAGGGGTGGTGTGGGGAGGGTGGTTCTGACCCCAGGGAGAAACGTCAGCATAGGCTTCGTTGAGGGAGAAGAGAGTGTTGACCAAACGAAACCTACAAGGTAGAGGCTGACCTGGCTCTACCTGTTCGGATAGAAGGAGAGGGAATCGAGGGGGGGAGGTGGGGGTTGTGAATGAGCCCGAGGTTGGTTCTGACCCATAGGGGACAAGCCTTGGCTCACCTGCTGTCATGCACACCACCACCTTATCCCCCAGTTGCTCTTTGCACTTGCATTCTCATTCCAACCTACTTGAAATTCAAACCCAGCTTGATATAGTCACATACCCTGCCCTCACCTCATCCAGCAGGCGGGGCAGGTCCCTGTTCGCGTCAGGCCCACACACCACGTCCACCATCTTATCCGCCGCCACCAGCTGCTCTTCAATGTACATATGTACATTCTCGTTACAGTCACTCTCGTTACAGTCACAAAACCCACCCTGACCTCGTCCAGCAGGCGGGGCAGGTCCCTGTTCGCGTCAGGCCCACACACCACGTCCACCATCTTATCCGCTGCCACCAGCTGCTCCTGGAAACCTGGAAACTGGAAACTTTCTCATTACAATCCTGCTCCTTACAATCACCCTACTCGTTACAGTCACACATCCTGCTCTTACCTCGTCCAGCAGGCGAGGCAGGTCCCTTAGGCATCAGGCCCGCACACCACGCCCACCACGCACACCACGCCCACCACCTGATCCTCTGCCACCAGCTGCTCTTTCAGCCACATAATTGTCATTTCAAGCCCGCCCCATTACAGTCACACAGCCTACGACATCTCCTTACACTCAAACAACACAACCTGCCCTCACCTCGTCCAGCAGGCGTGGCAGGTCTCAGTAGGCGTCAGGCCCACACACTACGTCCACCACCTTATCCGCCGCCACCAGCTGCTCCTTCAAGCATCCAGACTCATACTCTCTCATTACAAGCCCTCCGTTACAGTCACACGACTCACTCCCCCAGCCTCACCTCCTCTAGGAGCCGCTGTAGATCTCTGTAGGCGCCAGAGCCACACACCACGTCCACCATCTTATCCGCCGCCACCAGATGCTCCTTCAATGTACATTCTCGTTACAATCACCCTCGTTACAGTCACAAAACCTACACTGACCTCGTCCAGCAGGCGGGGCCCTGTAGGCGTCAGGGCCACAAACCACGTCCACCATCTTATCCGCTGCCAGAAGCTGCTCCGTTTAGGAAGATTCTCTATACAACCCTGCTCGTTACAATCACAATGCTCGTTACTGTCACACATCCTGCCCTCACCTCATCTAGGAGCCTCGGTAGATCCCTATAAGCGTCAGGCCCACACACCACGTCCACCATCTTATCCGCCGCCACCAGCTGCTCCTTCTAGAAGCTAGACACATTCTCGTTAGAAGCCCACCTCGTTACAGTACCCTTCCTCACCTCGTCCAACAGCCGTGGCAAGTCTCTATAAGCGTCAGGCCCACACACCACGTCCACCATCTTATCCGCTGCCACCAGCTGCTCCTTCAGCCGCTCTGCCATGCACCCCAGCACTGCCACCTTCGGCGGAGGTGGTAACCACCCCGGTGGTAACCCTGTAACAGATGCAGCACCAGCAGCGTCGGCAGCAGAACCTGCAGCAGCACTAGCACTGGCACTAACAGCAGCGGCGGCGGCGGCGGCGGCAGCAGCAGCAGAATGAGCGAATTTATCCCTCCACTTGCGCTTCACATGCTTGAAATAGTTCAACCGATGCCACACCTTGGCCTCTGCATTCTCCCTGATCGCACACGTGTTCACCAGAATCACCCGCGCCTCCTCCGGCCTATCAGCGCGCGCCACGTTGAACCCTGCGGATTTGAGGATTCCCAGCACCACCTCCAGGTCGTTCACGTTCATCTGGCATCCGTACGACTCCAGGTACACTCCCCTGGGGTCCGTCACTTTATCCGTAAACGAATTAGTGACAATATTGGGGATGGAGCCGTGAAAGTGGGGTGGGAGGTCGGCCTGGGAACCGTCAATTTGTGCTTGAAGCGAAACCGTGGATTGATGGGGATGGAGTAACGGGATTTCAGGCAAATCAGTCGTTTCTTTTAAAAATGATTTTTTCCCTCCCGCCCACCCAGCAGCTTTTCCTGCTCTCTCCTCCCCTGCTCCCCTCACTCTCTCCTCCCCCGCTTCTGCCTCTCCTGATTCTGCGCCTGCTTCTCCTGCAGCGGCCCGCCTGATGAAATCCGAAAGCGACGGGCCAGTCCGGATGGCCTGCCGAAACGACTGCCGTGCAGTCGAGGATGCTACAAACGAGGATGCGGTTTCACTGTGCGTTGGCTCGTCTCCGGCCGTGTCGCTTCCCGTTCTCGCTTCCCCGATTTCACTTTCATTTTCGTGCCACGATTCTGATTCCAGAGCCGCTAAATGCTTTTCCTCCTCCTGCTGCTGCTGCTGCGGCGGCGGCGGCGGCGGCTGCTGCTGCTGCTGCTGCTCGGCACTGTCGTTGAGCTGCAGCGCGCCGAGCCCGTTCGAGAACGTCCTCGTTATACCGGGGCTCGGTAATGGTGAGTAAACGAGTGATCGGGCCATGGAACGGCTTGCGATCGGACGGTTGTGGACCCTCCATGGATTTCCGAGCACACGAACAGACGGTTCAGATGAACCCAAGCGACTCTGCATCGAATTCACGATTTTGAAACGCGTCGCAGCACGCTGTTGCGACGGATCAAGCTTCGAGACATCCGGTGTCCTTCTAGAGAACAAAGCGCACGAGGAGGAGGATTTGAGAAGCCAGGAATGTTCCGCAGCACCCAGCGAGTTGGCTTTGCAGTGCCAGCTTCGAGCAGCTCGCGATATAAGACGAATCGGTCGATCACGCATGGCTGCGGGTTGCTGCGACAACCGTGAACGCTTCGATCGCCCGCTTGGATCGCACGGCCTAGGCTAGAGCAATCTTCAACGGCGAGATACGAACTTGCCTTTGAGGCGTCTCCAGGCGACTTGTCAAACCACCAGAATGGAAGTGTCAACGAGAGACGCTCGGCCGCGAAAAAAAAACATATGCACCACATGATAAGAGTGTAATGCGATATTAGTTTGTGTGCAACCTCTTTATAAGGTGATACGCTATCGCGATACCTTCGGAAATGCTTTCAGAACCTTTCGATTATTCCAAATAGAATATCCAGTGACGGAATGTGACAAATCGTTTTGGCCTTTTTAATAACCAATAAAATCTCTTACATACTTTATTCCCCTTAATAGAAGTGACCCAATTATGTGCCGTATTAGGGTACTTAGGGAATACAGAGACTAAGAATGCAATAGGAAGGGCATTGTCATTTCGACCCTGAACATCAGCTATTGGTAGACCCTGATTACCCAGCCAGATGCGCGATCAGAGAGAGTGTACATTGCCCAACCTTATTGGAATGGGACCACGTCAACCTCCGCCATTGGTAGAGCTTGATTATCCAGATGCGCGATAAGACGACAAGATGACTCTGGCGTGTCCTGCACACAAATCAATCAAGCGCTTCGTGATTCTGCTGCAACCCAGCCAATCCTGAATCACCCAGTTGACCCCTGATGAGATTTTGACCCAATCAGAATTCTGGGCCACACGGAGTCCCCAACCTTTCAACCAAGCACGGACCCCATCCACTTATTTTCCATCCCCACATCCAACTCCACCTCACCGCATCCAACCGCGAATCTCCCCAATCACCCCCGTTATCTGCTCCACCCATTCCAAATTCGCCAATCTTCAAATATTGCTCATCTACCCACAATTTTCAAGTCAGCGACAGAAATTCCAGGTTCCTACACAACTCTTTAGTGTTACACTTTTCCGCAGTCGACAATGGCCTCTCTCGCCAACGCCGCTGTGCTCCCGTCCATCTTCGTCGGCCGGAGCGCTGAGCTCACCGCCAAGGTGAACAATGTCGAGGCCCGCGTTACCATGAGGAAGACCGCCAAGGCGGCTTCCAGCAGCGCCTTCTACGGCCCCGACCGCAACCTGTTCCTGGGCCCGTTCTCCTCCCCCCCGTCGTACCTGACCAGCGAGTACAGCGGTGACTACGGTTGGGACACCGCGGGTCTGTCTGTCAAACACTGTACATGTGTTATTACTGTGTAGGCTACAGTAGGTTAGCCTTTAGGGGGTACACAATTCTAGGGTTTCATACCTGTACTCCAATTCTCTCATAGTTCAATCACTTCGTGTTTCTGACATGGCATTAGAGCTTAGGTCCTAGTCCTAGGACCACTTACCTAAGGGCCCACCGCTATAAGCGCCCTCGAGCGCCTCTCTTAGTGCGCCCTCGTGCACCCCTCTTCCTCCTGCTGCCCGCGCGCAGCCCGCTAGTGCCGCGCGCGGCCCCTTTTTTTTCGCGCGCGTTACCCACTAGCGGCCCGCGCGCGGCCCTTTGTTCTGAGCGCGCGACCGCCCCTAACCGCCCACGCGCCCAGCGCCGCCCACGAGCAGCCCCTAGCCGCCCGTCGACCGCCCCCCAAGGTGCCGCAGCCCCGCCCCTAGGCCGCCGCGACGCCCCGCTAGGCAGCCGCCCACGCGCTAGTCAGGCCCGCGCACGTCCACGGCCCGCCCGCTACAGCCGCCCATGCGCACGCCCCCCCCGTAGCGCACCGTCGCGTAGCCCAGCCCGAGCCGAGCCGCGCCGCCCGAACCGAACCGCGCCGCCCGAACCGAGCCGCGCCGCCCGAACCGAGCCGCGCCGCCCGAACCGAGCCGCGCCGCCCTAGCCGAACCGCGCCGCCCTACTGTGCCCCAGCTGCAGCACCTGCTGTTCCTGTTACTGCTTCTGCTACTACTGCTACTGCTGCTACTGTTCCTACTACTGCCACTGCTTCTATGGCCACTCCTACTGTACTCACCTTTGACGCTGAGGGCCGTCAGATTAAGTTCGATGTTTGGCTCGATGACCTTCACCTCTACCTTCAGATAACTGCCAAGGACGATGTCTCCCTGCATGACCACACGTCAGGCGCCGCTCCTGCACCTCCCGCTACTGCTGACAGCACTGCTCGCTCCCAGTGGCAGACCCGTGATGCTCACGCTCGCCTAGCCGTTCGCAGCCACCTGCCGTTAGATGAGCGCGAGCACTTCGGCCAGCATAAGACCGCTAAAGAGCTGTACGACGTCGTAGTCGCGCGCTACTCCTCCCCTGCCACTGCTGCTATAGGCCGTCTCTCACTGCCCTACCTCTTTCCCGACCTGTCCGCCTTTGCCACTGTAGCTGACCTCATCACCCACCTCCGTACTAGTGACCTCCGCTACTGTGCCGCGCTCCCCCTCGATTTTCTCGCCAAGAACCCCCCCCCCCCCCCCCCCCCCCGATGTACCTCACACTGTACCACCTTGTTACTCGCCTCCCTGACTCCCTTCGCACTGTTAGGGACCAGTTTCTCGCCCTCTCCCCCACTGACCTCACTGTCGACCTCCTCGAGAAGGAACTCCTAGCAGCTGAGAAGAGCATTGTAGCTGTAGGTGCCTCTCATGGTGACCCCCGCACCCCCTTCTTTGAGGGGTGCTCCCCCTCCCCCCTCCTCCCCTCCATTGCATCTGCTGCTGCTGTCGACTACCTCGGAGCTGAGGGAGTCGGGGTCGCCTCTACTCCTAGTGGGAGGCGCAAGGGCGGCAGGGGCAAGGGGGGCCGGGGTGGTGGAGGTGGAGGCGGGGGCGGTGGCGGTGGAGGGGGTGGGGGGGGCCGGGGGTGGTGGCGGGAGTGGGAGTGGCGCGGGTGGTGGGGGGGTCAGTGGCGGCACAGGGGGTGGTGGCGGCGGCGGCGGTGTTACGGGAGGTGGGGGCGGTGGTGGCAGTGGTGGTGGAGGTGGAGCGGGTGGCGGGCGCGGTGGAGCGGTGCAGCGTGGGGGATTCGGCGGTGGCCAGAGGCAGCAGCAGCAGCGTCCCGGCGAGACTCCCTCGCCCTAGCAGCTCCGTGAGTGGTACTCTCAGCGTGGGGGGTCTGGGGGTGGGGGTCCCTGCCCGTACGTCATTCGCACAGGTGACCGCGCTGGCCAGACCTGTGGGAGGTTCCACACGGCACAGCGCTGTTTCTTTCGCCTCGACGACGCCTGGCGCGACCAGTTCCCTGACGCCTCTGAGCTGCCTCGCTGGGCTGATCTGCTTAGGAAGGGGATTGATGTCTTTGCTCTTGATTATGATGCTATCCTTGCTGCCATGTATGCATTGACTATTAGTGCTGAGGGTGACTCATACCTGAGTGTGCCGCCTGACCCAGGTATTGGTACTGGTAAGGCTGCTGCGCTAGGTGCTCGTGCGTCTGCGTCTGCTGGTACTGGGTCTACTACGGCACTGCACACTTTCACACTAGACTCAGGTGCTTCCCGCTGTTTCTTTCGTGACTGCACTGTCCTTGAGCCACTAGCTCGGCCTGTTGCTGTCTCCCTTGCTGACCCTTCTGGGGGCCCGGTCCTTGCGACCTCCTCCACTGTCCTCACTTGTCCTGCGGCCCCGTCTGGCACTCTGTCGGGTCTCTACCTCCCCTCGTTCTCTACGAACTTGGTGGCAGGCTCTGCTCTCCAGGACGGAGGTGTTCACCAGTTCACCCCTGCCTATGAGCGGGTGACCCACTGCACGTGTGCTCGGACGGGTCGCCACCTGGCTACCTTCACTCGGCAGCCGGGGTCAGACCTGTACACACTGACCACTGAGTCCCCTCAGGTAGCTGCGTCTGCGTCTGCGTCAGGTCAGCTGTCGGCTCCCTGCTCGTGTCGCTCCCTGTCGCACCAGACCGTCCTCTGGCACCACCGCCTTGGTCACCCCTCCGTGCAGCGCCTTCGTGGCATGCACTCCCGGTACCTTGTCTCTGGCCTTCCCAGAGTTCTCCCTCCCCTCCCACCCTCGCCTGCTCCTCCCTGTCTTC